CGGTTTAGTTGTTTTCAAATGGAGCATCCCCAGCCTCAGAGATTCGCCCCCTCTGACGTCTCCCCTTGTTTCTATGTTGAAATCCTTCTTTGACCACCCAATAATTGAATTCTTTTCAAGGCGACTTGGGCGCCAACATAAAGTTAAATTAAGGGGGAGAGCTTACCAAAAAATATTCTGATCCAAACCATCCAAAAATTTTCCAAAAACGTCGAACAGCATTTTTCTAAATTTGCTTGAGAAATGGTCGAAGAGTTGTTCTGAAAAGATTTCGCCTCCCTTACTAACCGCCCTTTTCCTACCTACTAATTAGATGGCCTTGAAGCTCTTTAAACTGTAGAACAATTTATGATGGACATTTTTTTGTTTAAATTATCCCAATTTGAGAAAACTGGATCAATTGGTTAAACCTTTATTTCCCTGGGAAATCTGATAATTAATTTCCAGCTTCAAAATCAGAGTCGATCACGTTTTGCGCGACCTTTACAATTTTGTTGTTCGATAGTGGATTTTGCCTTCCTTTTAACAATAGAAACGCACTGAACTTAAAAAAAAGTCAACCGCGAAAAATAAAAATTGAGCGTGAACAAATTTTAAGACTTTTTCCTTGAAAAAAAATCAACAAGACCTATATAAGAGTCTTCACTACGTCCATTACTCTTAATATACAGAAACTTGAAAGAAGGCTGTGACCTTATCCTCAAAATACAGCTGATTAGGCATGCATCCGCCGACATAGGTCTGGGGACCGGCTCCCAGCACCACGGCTTTGGCTTCCTAAAAATGCTGCGTTGTTTCAGGAACCTTGGGTCTCTTTTATCTGAAGATCCCCTGAAAAAAATTTTGCAAACGGAACCACTGAAAAATACTAGATTGGTAGAATGGCACTATCGCAAATTTACGGAGCCAAAGCAGAAAATAGAATGTCTTGAACTGACAACGAAGACGGGGATAAAAAGATCTTCTTTATCCCCAACAACAAATATTAAACTAAGACTACAATGAAAAAATTAAAAATTAATCATAAAAACCGTAACTAAGTTCAAATGGATGTGATTGAAAAACAACGATCAAGACCAAAAGAGCAAAACCAGTGTAAAGTAATAAATTAAGCTAGTAATGATACATTCAAAATGATTTTCGTCAAAAGTTTTATTTTTAAAGTCTAACACTACTTTTCTATGGTTATATATTACTAGTGAATTACTAGTTATTTATAACTAAGAAGCCTGCTTCCCAAGCTGTAACGCCTTTCTCGTGCCTGTCCATGCTCTTCCACAGATCCATTCGGTTCCTCGACCACCTGATCATCTTGCAAAACGGTTTGTTTTGGTTTCGTGAAAACATTTTGCAAGCTTTGCCGCCTTGGACGTCCATTCGTCCTCCAGTCCACAATTGGGACTGGAAATCTTTCCGAGTGGGAGGCCATTCGTTCGTCCATCTCTGGCATGGAGTCCAACATTTGGTCTCTTTCTGACTGATAGGTTATAACTGGATCTGGATACTCCGACCCAGCGTGCTCCGACCCAGACGGGATATAATCCGGATCCTCCGAAGACGAAGGCGCATCATCATGCGTTTGTGGTCGCGGTTGGCCACCCCCATGACCTCCATCATCATCATCATCGCTCATGCCATCGAGTGTGTCATACTGCGATCCACAATTATCAGCCATCGAACTCGATATCAGAGAGATGAATTCGTGCTGTGAGCCCGGCACACTTTCAGTTGTCCTTGGTGGGAGTTGAATTACCCTGCCAGATCTGATTACCACCGCATGATCAGACATAAGATGTGCTTCCGGAAAAGAATTTGCAATACGCTTGCTTGCCTCAATGCCACGCTCCAGACTTACGAATGTATCGAAGTGAAGCATGAAATGCATCAAGTGACTGATGTCATTCAATTTTGTTACTCCTCCATTGTTCAAATACGTGCAGAATTTGGAGAACAAATTGTGATTTTCCCCGAACAAAACTCTTTCTGCGACAAGAGCCCTGACAATATTAATACCCTCTTGATCTAGATTTAACCCAAAGCAATGACTCAAAGCTGAGTCAATGATTTTTGCGTCCATCGTGTTTCGCAGATCACAGTAAAAGTTGCTTGATTACACGTTAAATCCAAGTCACGATTAAAATAAGTATAACAAGTAGTAATGAATGAACACACCTTCAGTCGCGAAAAGCGTATACAAAATTGATTTGACGACTTTTCGACTTTTAATTTACATTTATGTACTAGTACAAACGAATTGAGTCTGACAAGAATTGAAAACAGTCCAAGGTATCATTTATGACAACATCAAACTGCCAAGCCGAAAAAAAACTGTTGTTTGAATGGCATTAACAAAGAAAGTAGTGCCACCTTATTGAAGGCTTTTTAGTAACCATAATCTGAAACTCTCATGAGCTTAATTAGCGTAGGCTGGGGGTCTTTAATATCCGAAGCAAGGTAGTGGTGCTTGATTTGCTACCAACAAATCAGTTTTTGGGGTACCAAATTATTATGATCGGTGCTGGTCTCGATATTTAAGCACTTTATTAAAGACACTTGAAAAACTGAATGAGTAAAACTTTGAGTCGACAAAATTTCTCAAGTGGCGCACGCCAATTATGACGCATTAGCAGTACCAGTCAATATGATTTAAAAAAATTTACGAACTAACATGCCTCAATTTATAGAGCAGTCTATGGAGCAGTAATAACACGAAAAAATTAAAAGTAATAAAAAATGATTTTTTTAATTTGAGATTTTTGTGAAAATCATCCCCCCACACGCCTTATTAAGTGTAAATTTCGCTCCTAGTAACAAATCAATTATGGCAAATAAGCTTCCTTCAACCAATTTGGATCGATTACTAAGATTGATTAAATCTCCGCTTACGCGGTAATAGCGCGAAATATATCGCGCGTTTATTGTCTCAAATTGGCCAAAATGGCAATTTGTATACCCACATAACTTTACGAAAAACGATCACAGGTAAATATCTTTCCAAATTTAAGCTCAGGACAACAATACTTTTTGAATGATTTATAAAAATCCCGTCAAAAATGGCCAGTTAAAATGTCGAAATTTGTCTGAAGAAAAAAAACCGAGCCCAAATACTCCGTTAGTTTTGTTACAAAAGTCGGAACAATAATAATATGTGTTAAAATCCTTAGCATTGGCAGTACTTAATAGCTGATTATTGATTCAACTGAACACTTTCAAAATGAACACATTTTATCTCATCAAATATTTGCGTCGCAACAAAAATTGCGACTTAGGTTGGAAAAAAAAGTTCATACTATAACACAAGCATTACTTGTGTATACACAGGCAAATCAAAGCTTCGCACTACGTCTGATACAGAGATGCTTACCGGCAAAAGATAAGACGAAGGCAGTAGAAAAAATGATCGTCCGAAATTTTCATACCTTTGTCTTGATGGTCTTAACCAACGTTCAGTAAAAAAAAACATGCAAACTATTTCAAGCAAAGCTATTTTCCTGCTATATAAGTAACAACATAGCCAACAGACAGTTGGAAAAGGTTCAATGAACTCATTTAACAAAAAAATTACTGAATGAAAAATAATGAAACTTTCAAACATTAAAGAAAAGAATTAGATGCCCTTAAAGCTCTGAATTTCTAAAACAATTAATGATTGGCACTGTTTTGATTAAATTAGCCTATTTTGAGAAGACTGGACCAAAAGGAAAACTTTTTATTTCGTTGGGAAATCTGAAAACTAACTTCGATCACGTTTTTGTGACTGTCTAACTTTTGCTGTTTGAGTGGCATTTGCAAAGGAAATGAACTGAACTTAAGTATAAATCATAAGTCAAACTACGAAAAATGAAATTTGAGCCTATTAAAGTTTTGAGACTTTCCCTAAAAAAAATTATCAGCACCTTCATGAGAGTCTGAACTACGTTTAGTATTTAATTGCATAAATCTCTTCAACTACGACAACTTAAAACGCAAATCGCGTTAATAGCAATCTCTTTAATCAGACTCATTCACGCGCATAGTACCGCTAGTGACGAAATGTAAGTGCAGGCCGCTAATTGCCAATGCCGCTTTCCTACACTTTCCGATTTGTTCTTTTTCGTTGTGAGAGTTGTAGCGGTACGTGATTCATCTCAAATTATCAATTATACAAGGTAAGCCGGTTGCCGGGGAAGTAGCAGAGAATGTTCCAACCGTAGTCATGAAAAACTACAAACAAAGTTTTTCAAATTACCAAGTTCTTCAAAATAGTGTCGTTTCTTGTGCATAATGTTATGAGAGAAGTATACATACGCGTAGAAAGTTGCTAAATTAGGCATAATCGACAACAGTTGTCTTCGAAAAAAAAGAAGAGCAAACAAAAAACTTTTTTTTTTCGAAATTTTTTGCACTAAAAATGTTCAATTCAAAATGAATCAAAATGTTTCAATAGACGAAGCTTCCAAAACTCGTTTTGATTTCTAAGAATAACTTTTTTTTAGCCTTAGAGACCAATTCAACGAACGCCATCATCGCTTTGGTCGATCGCTTAAATCGCTCGAAAACAGTCTTAACCAATTTTTCTCGCCACTGACATTTTGGAAAGTTTTTTATTGTCGTTCAAATCAAGACTAACAAGGCTTTAATATGATATATCGCTGGACCCATTCCGGTGACTATTTGTGGTACCTGATTCTATGAGGGAAGAAAAACTAAAACGCCCGAATAGTAAGTTCCTCCCCATTTTCATTGGTCGGAACAACAAGTTCGCATGTATGCTCAATTTTTGAACCTAGAATAACATTTGAACTTAGCAAGCCAAATTCTTTACGGCAGACGATTCTACATTTCGTGTCTCTGCATCAATATCTACACTTGTCAGCTGCCTTTCTACTTCTGTTCGTCTTAGAAAAAACAGTTGTCAATTTTCGCCTAAAGTACGAACAAAAACTGCAAATAAGTTGAATTGCGGTTGGAAGTAAAATTTTTATAATACAAAACTTGCTCGCGCAAGTGTAATTATTTACCGTTGAATTCTAGTGTGAGATGATGTTCGACTGTATTCAGTAGTGCATCCACTACACACACATCTCCACTCTCAGTGCCAACTATCAAAAGAGTGTTCGCTTCCAGTCTCTGTCTGTAGTCCCCACCCTCTGTCTCTGCTGCCACTACTACTTCATTCACACTGCCTCCCCCGTCTGATATGGGGATGGAGGAGGGAGAATAAGAGGATGACTCACTCGAACTAAATACAAAATAGTCTTCGCAGCTGATTTGATAAGTTTGATTTTTTACAGAGTTTTAACGAGCAAGGACGGAGCAACTATATGGTTGCTGCATTTGATAGGTTATCGGACTACCATATATCATAACAGCATATAATTCCCATATATTCCCGAACACTCCTTTGAGATATTTTTGACTGCTCGCGAAAACTACCTTGCGATCTATTCTTTAAACCATAAAATTGACGACCCTCAAACAGTCTACCGACACCCCTGATGAATTGTCACAACGCCTATGACTATTATCCCACTCTCAAAACTAACGACAAGCATAAAGCAACAAGTTAGTCATATCTTCATAAATACCAACCACAATCATGTTTCACAAAGTACTTGTAATGGTCTACAAATTGGTGTTATTTATAAATGACATCTTGAATACTTCACGTTGATTTGATAATTAATGTTACATACTTTTTCATTTTTGCTATTTGGGTAAGGAACTATTTCATTTGCTTCACAATCTACCTATTAGGAGACGTCTGATTAAACTCTGACTGTTGTTGTTCATGTTCGTCGTACGCACATGTGGTATTACTCTCATCCAGACTCAGATATGTGATTCTGCTTTGAACACATTCGTCCAATTCACTCCTCTCTTCGAGTGCACAACTGGTGGATGTCACATTTACAAGGGATAATAGCTGAAACATCACGAAACGTATTTATCAGAAAGGTATCTTTACCCGTGTGTTATTGTTTTGACCGTCATAAAAATGACCGAATATTGTGCTCGGGTGGTGTGATGAATTTCTACAAAAAAGTTTCCTAAGTTTTTTAACAGTCAGAAATATAAAAACTTCTTGAGCTCAAAATTATAAGGGTTTGAATATTGCTTATTTGAGATAATTAATCCGGCTCAGTAATCACTCAAAACTCAATTAAGTCAAGCTAATTGATGCAGATATTGCTTTAAAATGAGCAAAGGTTATCTTTTTGTACTTGACATTGCAGGTGTGTAATGATTTTTAAGAAACTTTAAAAAACTCAAAATTGTTCAAAATCTGTTTTCGAAAATTTGATCGTTATTTTTTTTTGAATGATAATCGGAATAAATTGTTTATAAAAATTTTTCTCGGTCAATTTTCTTACTAAAACTACATGAAAAAAATATGAATCACAATCGGCAAAAAGGAGGGAGTTAATTAAATACATGTGCTGAAGAAAATTTGACACAAAGGCGAAGCTGTGCTTCGCAAACACAGGCGAGGAAAATGCAAAAAAGAGCTCCTAACATACAAGACAACATGAAATCAGAAAAAGATTGAGAATACACCTTGAAAAAAAATGATGAGAGTAGGGTTATCACGTTCTCACATCTGATTGGTCTTGAAGTTCGATGAGTTTTAAGACCATACATTTTTTTATTCGAAAACTGAAATTTTTTCAAAAAGTAAGTCAGTTTTTCAGTCCCGAAATTTTTCTACCAAATTTAGGGAAAAGCCTTTTGAGAAGGGGAGATCCCCATAAATTGTTCTTTTGATAGAAACCTTCAGGTCAGTTTTGTGCTATTATTATTGGAGAAAATGAAAACAAAAATTTTTAAAAAGAAGGCCAAAAATCCTCTTTCTGAAATTTTTGAAGGCCATAGAGTTTTCAGCAAAGTTTTTCCATTGGTACCATTTTTTTTGAAAAACGGAGCAGTAGTTTTTGAGAAACATTGAAAATTCTGAGAAATTTGCCAAAAATTTCCAAAGAGTCGCAAAAAAAACGAAAAACAATAAATCCCATACATTTTCATTTTATTTTAACAGAGTTTTTTTTTTCTAACAGAAACTAACACTAGCCAAAAAAAACGGTAACAAAGGCCATTAAATTGCTTCTACTTAAATAAGCTTCAATATGATTAAATTGAAATATACCAAAAGTACCACTAAATGAGTACTTTTATTTGCGACTTAGGCTAGAAAAAAAATCTAACTAAACACACTACGCTTTGCTAGTGTAAAAATTAATCAACAAACCTCGCGCCACAAATCCAAATTTATCCCCAATTCATTTTTTCATTTTTCTTAATAATCATCGTTAAGAAGACCTATCGAGTATAACTAAATACGAACTCTTTCAAAAGAAGAACATAGCAAACAGACAAATGGAAAACAGGCAATGAACGCGGGGCAACTGAAAAATTGACTTACTTTTTGAAAAAATTTCAGTTTTCGAATAAAAAAAATGTATGGTCTTAAAACTCATCGAACTTCAAGACCAATTTATGATTGACATTTTTTTTTGATAAAATCAACTTGAGAAAATTGTTTTAATAAGTTAAGTTTTATTCAGGCGGAAAACCTAAAAAAAAATCTCACTTTCGAAATAAGATGATCACGTTTTTTGTGACCTTTACCCTTTTCTGTTCGATTTTAAAAGTGATTCAAAGGTAGTCAAACCCCGAAAAATCAAATTTGAGCATGAAAATTTCCTAAAAATGTCCTATAAAAACACGACCTATACGAGTGTCTTCACTACGGTCATCGACATTAATGTATTAATTCTTTATCTTTTTGTTAAAGGATTTGCTGATTGATACGCACAGTCTTTTAAGTTTTTTATTGCTGAACCACTCATTTGTCGATATAGCAGCGGACTCCTTATCCCCTTTACGACAAATTTCATTTTGCTAAATAAGGGTTCTGAAAAATTGGACGACAATATAAATGCCGAAACGAGTATTTACCTTTACAAAATGGTGTTTGTCAAAAGTGATTGCCAACAGAGCATTTGAGAGAGAAAGGCTGATATTTGAAATGGATCCCAGACAAGCATAGGCTTCAAATGAAGACACTAATTTGCACAGTTTAACTGACAGCACATGGCTAAAACAGATTAAGGCTTTTAAAAATTCAACTACCGGATGTCATCGTTCAAAGTTGCTTAAATGTCAAGAACTTCTGAAATTTTTTACATGGGTTGATGACAGTGATGTCCATAAAAAAAAATATTTAAATTATATAAAATTAACATTTAAATTTCAATTTATTTAAATGTGAAATTATGAGCCCATTCAGTTTAAACGAAAAATTTTGATTCAAATCGAACAACTTATATTGAAAAAAAATTAAATTGATCGGGCGGTAACAGATCCGACGCCAAAGTACACAGTTTAGTTATGTCAATTAATTGCACTTTTCACAGTTCCGCGGGTATCATTCCGGAATTTTCCGCGCAACGACCTTCCGGGTTCACGAAAATATGATAATTTTGAATAGATATGCCCGAAAAATTGCTTCCGATTTCTTTTTCTGAAATTGCGAAAAGTTCCCAAAAATGGCAGAAAAACTGCTAAAAAATAGGCTTAAGAAAAATGTAAATTTCTACAGAAAAATTTAAATAAATTCAGAAAAAATTGAACTGATGCCCAACAATTTTTATAATTTTCTTGAATAATTTTAATTTCAATTTATATATTTTTGAAATAGACATTCCAGTTTGATGTTAAATAAGCGTTCATTTTCTCAGATTTGAAATGCGGTACAAAAAACTATAGCCGCACAACATTCTTTTCATGTCAATAGAAAACGTCCGTTCAAATATCCATTCAGATCTTGCGGTACAACCCTATTCACCATAGTCAAATTGTGATACGTAGATTATTTTTCATCAAACATGGCATCTAAATCTGTACTCGATGTTCGAACTATATTGTTTCTGAACAATTTCGATGTTTGTCATCCGTCAGACAGAAGGCCTCAGTAATGAACGCAAGTAAACATAAAAAAAACACTGACGGTTGAAAAAAACTTTCGAATTTAAAAAAAAAATAGATACCCTTTGAGCTCTTCGAAAAATTGATAACGATTTATGACTGGCGCTTTTTTGATAAACTTTAACCCAACTTGAGACAACTGGATTAACAGGTAAAGCTTTTATTCCGCTGGAAGTCTAAAAATTAATTTGCACTTTCGAAACTAGAAATCGTTCACGATTTTTTGCGCCATTTCCACGTTCGTATTTGGAAAGTGCTATTTACGTCACTTTCAGCAGATGAATTGAAATTGAACTGAAAAAGTGCACATATACATAAGTGTATTAATATATTAAGACTTTTTCCTGAAAAAAAACAGAAAATCAGCAAGACCTATATAAGAGTCTTCACTACGTTCATTACTCTTAATAAAACCGTAGGCTGAAAACTAACTTACATAATGCCATCTTCTGATCCATAGATTATTAGGTTTTTCTTGTTGAGAAACTTGCAGCATTTCAGGGGCTAAAACAGATTACTATTCTGAAAAACAAACTAAAAAAGTCGCTTATTGCACGCTAATGCTGATGATTCATTCCTGCGTATGAATTTACTTTAAAATATGACCGTCGAAAAACCAAAAACTAATTCGAGTCAATTAACATTAGAGACTTTATATCTAACTGGATTTGAAAATGATTTCACTGATCGATTGATCTTTTATTTATTCTTTGTAATTCGTTAGCGATATTTAACAGCGGGTAATGGGCAGACTGTTCCTATCCATCACTTCTAACCTTTTTAGAGGGAACTCTGAGAGTAAGAATGGGTTTGCTGTCTGTGGTTGATAGGACCAGGACTTTACCGTCCTGCAGAGCCAGAGCAACCAGCTCTCCTGAGGAGTCCACGTCCATTGCGTTGACTGTGAACTTGCCTCGCTTGTTGTCACATAATGATAGCACCATTCTATGAAAGCAGTTCTATTGTCAAGATTGGTCATATATGCATACAAGCAGCAATTTCCCTACGAATAATTCAACACAAAAACCAAACCCGGCTCTTTAAACCCTCCAAACCCTTCCCTTCAACTTCGCTCGTGTCAAATTATCAGTTTCACGTTTAGCCTATGATGTTGCCTTGAAGTTGTAAAGATTAAAAAAAACACTTGAAACTCAAAAACCAATGTTGGATTACGAAATAAAGATCTAGGTATTTTCTACGGATGACGATATAAAAAAGGTGACAGAAGAAACGACAGAAGTTCCTCAAAAACTTTGATTGTGCTATGCTAACATTCTTAGTGATTGCGCAGCATGAAATTCGCGTTTGAAATTTTTCTCTGAAATTTTGGTTTAAAACTAGCTCACACCTAACCACACCGTTACAGAGGGTAAAAACGAACGTACTCAACCTATAACCACTTCTAATATCATTTATTCATCTCAAAAGACTAACCTATGTCTAAGATTAGCTATGTTGTAAACTGGTTTCACTTCATCCGCATCCATCCTTTCTTGTGTCATTGTCGACCTGTTGTCACTACTGTCATCTAAGTCTCCATTTGGGGAGCCAATCAGAGAACTCCTGCTTCTATCCGACAAGCTCGATGGCGATTCTGGGTTGGAAATTTCACGTGAGCGACCTAACAAGGGTGACATATAAGAACAGACTGTAGGCATTGTTATATTAGAAAGACGCCTGTAAAACACATTGTACACAAAGTCAAAACTTTCAATTGTACATAAAGATTCAAAACTTTCAAAAGTTGGAAGTAATTTCACTACTTTCAGCAAAATATTAGAGCAATTCAATTCATGGACATGATCAAGCCATGGCAAAGTCATGGAAATGGGTAAATCAGACTCAGCGAAAAAGGACAATTACTCCTATTCAAAAATCGACCGAAACCCGACGGATAAATAAACATCAAATGGCATAAAATTTTAGCACTGTCGTCGCCCATCTGTTAAAAAACTGCCAATCGATCTCGCGAAAGGCTTCAATACTACTTGAGCTTTAGAATCTACCAAAAGATTTTTTTATCTTGAAAAAAAACTGATTTTTCATCGGTTCGGTTCCCAGATATTGCATCATCACATCCTAATTAAGTAATTATTGACTTCGTTCTTGCGATTTCAACGTGGATAACAACGACTCAACCACTCTGTTGCTTCGCCTACCGGATATTTTCCTCCATGCACTTGAAAACACACTTCCCCTCCCCACTGATTGGGACTCCTTGGGGGCGGCGGGTAGAGACGCTGAGAAATCAAGCTTCTTGCTGTTCAGTTCAGCCTTTTCCAGATCTGTCTGGATTTTGAGCGGCTTCAGTCCATTCTGAGGAGGTTGTATTGTGTTGTCAGTGAAAAACGAGTCGGGAAGATCGAAATTCGGATTAATCAAATCTGGCACCTGTAACAATAAAAACAGCTTGATGATATTTTTCTATTGATTGGTCCAACTTCAAATCTAAAGGCTTAAAATTAACTCATAACGTGGCTAGCCATTTACACAGGTTCTTCGCAAACAAGCAAAAACCGGGCGAAAAGAGCTCAAAAAATTTAACCACAGCCAAAATACAGTTGGAAAAGAATCAACAAACGCAAAGAAACAAAAAATAATTTTTTTTCAGAAAAAGCTTCAGATTTCGAAGAAAAAAACATGTCCTTTAAGCTCTTTGAACGTCAAGAACAATTTATTGAACTTCAAGAACTATTTTTGATAAAGTAACTTCAAAAACAATTTTGTTAAAATTAACTCAATTTTTTGTTGAAAGTTAGGTGAAACTTCTGTTCAGTTGGGACCACTAAACATCAAGTCACACTTTCGAAACTAGAAATTGATCATTTACGCTTCTGTTATTGGAGAACGAATTCTGCAAATGAACTTGAATCGAACTCAAAAAGTGAATATACACCAAAGTTAATATATACCTAAGGGCATTCATAAATGCATCAACAAGTATGAATGCACTTCTGTAATTATTAGAGGAGTATTTTAGCACTTCAAAAATCATCACAACCTATATAAGGGTCTGCATTAAATTCATCGACTCTTAAAACAACGCACAAAAAAGCTTAAAAAACGTTCAAAAAGAAGCTTGAGCAGCACGTTTCTGCACCTACGACGAAAGACTTTAATTTTTATTTATGAAAGGCTTACAATATTCTGTCACAAGAGAAAACGAAAAAAAAACATCGGTCGATTATTCCCCCACAGACTTTTTCGAGCGCTGTAGACAAAGGGTTAAAGCAAAATGAGACAAAGTTGGAATGCAGGCACACAAAAATGCAGGCGTTTTTTCTATATTTACGCCTTTTTTTGAAAATCGGTTGAAGGGGTCTGGAGAAAAAGCTAAATTTTTTCAAGTGAAAAAAATTCCCAAATATACTCAAAAAAACAAAATAAAAAACCCAATTCCCTACACTTTAATAATAATTATTTTTAAAAAACAGGAATTCTAGGCAAACAAGCCAAGCAAGACATTTAAAATCCAAATTAGCAGCTGCACAAAATTTAGGAAGCGGAAACAAGGCCGACAATCTTTGAGCAGACACCAGTTGAGTCGAAAAAAAACTTATTTTTCGAAGAATTTTAAAAAGTTTCTAGTCACCCTGAAACTACCGTAGTAACTAGTACCTACCCAGTAGCTAAATTTGAAAATTCATGAAAATAAGCATGTCATGCAGACGACATGTTCAATTTTATGAAAATTCAAACTTGATTCTACTGATTTTGTTAAAATAGTTGTTAACCCAAAAAAAAAGTCTACATTCCGATTTGATAATGCTTGCTAATTGCAGGCATAAAAACTGTTTCGTGAAAATTGAGAAAAAAACTTCATATCTCGAAAACTACGAAGAATTGAGCAGCCATCTTTGGAGCCAAGATTCGCAATCCCTGAGAGTACTCTGACATTTTGAACCCCAACTACAGGGTTCAGAATTTCAAACTTTGAATAATTTTTAAAACTTTTAAAAAATCAAAAATACATCATATCTCAAAAATTTGAAATGTCATGTTTGGAGGCAAGATTCGCAAAGCCTGACAGACCCTCACAATAAAGATGAAACCTTCAAAATTTGTTCTTCGACTCTAAAAACAGAGACAACAGAGATTCAGTTGGAAAAAAAAGCAACCAACGCAAGTAAGCAGAAACAATTTCAAAACAAAATAGATGCCCTAAATCTCTTTGAATTACTGGAACAATTTATGACTGGCACTTCTTCGTTTACAAGTCACAAATGACCCAATTTGAGGAAACTGATTCAATAGTTTTCTCAAATTGTAATTTTTTTTATTTCGCTGGGAAATTTGTAATACCACATTCGAAATTAGAAGTCGAAAGTAGAGTTTGCGTTCTTTAAACAATGGAAATGCATTGAACATAAATCAATAGTCAAACCATTGAATTTGAGCCTGAACGGTTCTAAAAACTTTTCCCGAAAAAAAATCATCACGTTCTATAAAAGAGTCTGGACTACGTTCATCGAATATTAAAAAGATCACTTGAAAACTCTTTCAAAAGCGCCTTATCTTCAGTAAGGCGCAAACAAATATCCCAATCACGGATAAAATTTGAGACAATAAATAATGAGAGCGACCGCTGCGCTCTTGTAAATAGGCGAACTTCAAGAAAGATAAAGAAAACTAAAAAATTGATTGAAAGATTTCGACACAGGCGAAGCTGCGTTTCGCACCACTTGCAATCCAAAGCATAAAAAGCGCTAAGTCGGAAAAAATCAAAAAACCGAAAATTGAAAAAGCTAGATCTATCAAAATGAATCAGGCTAGTTTTGAAACAAATATGCCCAGACAATAGACAGACAACTTAGCATGCCAAAAAAACTTACCAAGCGGTAACAAAGCCGAAAACACATTAGCGGAAATCCTTTAAGCCAAACAAAAATCAACAAGACTAAGACTAAAAGTTAACTCCCCCTCGCCCTCAACGCACACACAGACACAAAACTTTATTTGCTCGTCAAAATAAATAATATGAGGCCACTAAACCGACATACTAAAGCCAAAAACTATAAAGCCAAAAAAATAAAACAAAAAAGCCTCAAAACAACTTTAAAATTACAAGCGAGTAACGCGGGTCCGGTGCTTGGAATTTTTGACAACTCATGAAAAACTGCACATACTGGAAACAAGAACTAATTTGCAGCCTTTGAATGTACTCTGACAGCACTTTGAGTGTACTCTTATATTTTTTTTCAAATTTTGAAAAACCAAAAAAACGTCAGATCTTGAAACCTTAAAGGGTCTTTGGCGAAATCTGGAAGCTAGAGTTGCAACCGCTAAGAGTAACCTGAGAGCACACCACTAAAGTAATGGGAATTTCAATTTTCGTGAAATATTTTAAACCTAAACTTCCCGAAAAATATTGAAAAAATCATTAAAAAACGCCATATCTCGGAAACTAAAACGATACGAAGACTTATATTTGGAGGCGAGGTTTGCAACGCCTGAGAGTACCCTGATAATAGGTTTCCTCACTAATCGTTGGGAATACCTGATTTTGTAAGTTCTTTGAAAAAAGTCGAAGAAATAAAATGTCACACCACGAAAGCATTTGAGCGGTCGCTTTTGGACGCAAGATTTGCAATCCCTGAGAGAACTTTCATAGAATCCAACTTCAGGGCTGAGGATTTTTAATTTTTTTGATTTTTTTATACTGTTCTCTAAAAATTGAAAAAATAAAAAACGTCATCGCGAAAAATACAAAGAATTGAGCAGCCATCTTTGGAGGCAATATATGCAATCCCTGAGAGTACTCTGACAGCCCCCAACTACAGCGTTCAGATCTTCAAGATTTGAATATTTTTTGAAAAAAAAATTGAAAGAAATCATCAAAAAAATCATATTGAAATTTAAAAATCATAAAAAACGGCATATATTCAAATTTACAAGTTCTTTGACCAATTCTGAAAAGACGCAAAACAGGTCACATTTTGGATACTGAAAGCATTTGAGCAGTCACATTTGGATACAAAACTTAGAATTCCTGAGATTACTCTCACAGTACTCAATAACAAGGTTGCGAATTTCAATCTTTTCAATTTTTTTTTTAAATCTAAGTTCTCTGGAAATTGAAAAAAAAAATCAGAAAAGAAAGATTTGAGCAGTCACAAGACTCGTAATTCCTGAGAAAACCGTGACAGCACCCAACTACAGCGTTCAGATCTTCAAGATTTGAATATTTTTTTGAAAAAAAAGTTGAAAGAAATCATTAAAAAAATCATATATTGAAATTTAAAAATCATAAAAAACTTCATATATTCAAATTTACAAGTTCTTTGACCAATTCTGAAAAGACGATAAAACAGGTCACATCTTGGATACTGAAAGCATTTGAGCAGTCAAATTTGGATACAAAATTTAGAATTCCTGAGATTACTCTCACAGTACTCAATAACAAGGTTGCGAATTTCAAAAAATCTTTTCAATTTTTTTTTAAATCTAAGTTCTCTGGAAATTGAAAATAAAATCAGAAAAGAAAGATTTGAGCAGTGACAAGACTCGTAATTCCTGAGAAAACCGTGACAGCACCCAACTACAGTGTTGGCAAAATCCAATTTTTAGAATTATTTTCTAAATCAAGTTTTCTTAAAATTTTTTGAAAAAAAAAATAAAAAAACGTCGTATGTCGTCAGCTATAAGGATTTGGGTATCCATTATTGAAGACCAAACTTGCAACTCCTGGGGAAACCCTGACACTATCCCAATTTTGCGTTGCTTATTCTGAACTCGGTGAAATTAACACTGAATTCAAACTGGAAAATCGAAAAGAATTCTGAATCATTCAACTACGATGTATCTTATACGTGAAAAAAAAAAATTTTTCGTTTAGCATGCAAAAATAATACGTTGAAAAACTTGAGCGTGGCGAGATAGTGAAATTCGTATATAAATAGATAAAAGATTAAGTCCACCTAAACCTCAATACACACACGCACACACAAAAAAAAAGACAAGCGAAAAAAATACGAAGTCAAGAAATTACAAACAGCCGAAGTTAATCAAAACACTGAGAGCAACTACAAAGTAAACTGCGTATAGAAAAAAAAAACAATGATAAGATGTGGCGGAAAAACTTTTGACCATCCTTTGAACTAAGTTATTCACTGGAAAATCATGTAGTACCCGATTGCAATACCCTTGCTTAAATGCTTATGCTTTTTTTAAAAAAAAAAAAACAGGTGCTGATCGGATTCGAGCCTAGGCCCAAAGAAGTCAGCTAGTTTTCGTAGCAGTAGTTAAATTTGAATTTTCAAGAAATGGAGCGTATTTGTTGCAGAATTGAATGCTGCACAAACTATTCAATGACTTTGTTAAACTAGTTTGCTAACCCGAAAACAATCTAATCCGATTTGATAACGCTTGCTAATTGCAAGCGTAAAGTTATCCCATTAAAAATTTGAATTAATGAAAAATTTTTCAAACACTGCTAGGCGTTCAGAAAATTAAAGTGCATTTTCACTAAAATTAAACCAAAAAATCATCATGACCTTTATAAAAGACAATCACTTCGTTCTTTTACACTTACAAAATCCGAACCTTCAACACAATTCTGAATTCGACCATTGTCTGCATTCTGTTTAGAGGCACTGTGGCATGGTAGCGAGGTTGCAATCATATAGCTGGTGGTTCAAAATTTGCATGTGCCATACAGTTTGCAAGCAAGTGAGTAATATTTTAACAAACTAACGAACCTTCGGATAAGGCTTCTCGCTGCTAAATGTTATACAAAAATAGAAAGAAAAAAACTTACTGATACTGATGAAAATCCCTTCTGATTTGTATTACTCTGTTTGTGCTTCGGCCCATGTTTCGTTTCCGCTTGAACAACCGATGAGTTCACATTGTTGCTGTGCATTTTCAGATTTCCCTTCATGTTCAAAATACTCTGCATCTGAGTCTGTTGTTGATCAGTGTGATTTGTGTTGAAGTTGCGCGGGAGGTGTGGCTTCGTGAACAGTTGCACCGGACACTGGCCAAACTCCAGAACCTTTAATAACACATACACACTAGCTGATTTAAGGAGGATGGGGACTGGAACTCTTTAGAAGTTTGAACCCTTCACTATGCCCTTACGTTTAGGTACGGTCGTGCAAAAGCTGGATAGGGCCCATACCAGCATTATATAAATACATCAATAAACCATACTGCGGGAATTAAGTCAAGTCAGCATTTAATGCATTGTCATTAAAAGTATTTACTTCAACCGTCCCTCCTGTACAACAGCACTAATTGAATTCTCTATGAATTGCGTCTTACGCTGTGATCTGCAACCCAGTATACAAAGGATAGAGCTCCTGAGCAGCGCGAAGCTTATCTTAGTCCTAATATAGTTTATTGTTTCTGCGTAGCTTTCATGCCTTTTTTCACTAAGTTTTTCAGCTATGCGCTGCATTGTCCGAGTAGCTGATGGTGCGGCACCACCAGTGCAGCCAAAAATGAGCGGGCAGAAGCTGCTCTGTTCGACTTGTAGAACTCTGTTGGTATTTTGAGTTTTTTAGTGATTCGTGGTACTTATAGGCGTCTTTCAGTAGTCTTCGTGAAGTTTTTGCGTGCGGGTTGAAGACTTTGACATCAAAAAAGGTTCGGCTAAACCTTGAGCCCCATAACCCATTTGCTTTTACATCTAGTCGAGCGTCTTCATCAGTTGTGGTTGAATTGTTGACAAAGCTCTCGCCTTGCAACGACTGAAGTTTCGGCTCGATTTCAGCATCAAAGCAAACCTCGCTAATGAGGTTGGCAAAGGTATCTCTGATTTCGTTATGCCTCATGTGGGTGTATCCACCCTTTCACAGTGAAGGACGTGGGTAAGGTCGAAATAGTGGAATGTTGGTTGGTTCCCATCTATATCTGAGATAAATTCCATCCCGGAATTCGGATTTATTCAGGTTAAAATTATATCTGCTAAGTGGCAGTGCATTAACCAGTTTGAGGCTCCTTTTTCGGAGGCCAGCTCAAGTGCGTATTTTTCATTGTCAATCAAGTTGTTCAAAATGTTAGTTCTCTTTTGGTTTGTTCTTTCGGTTTTAAGTGTTTTAATTTTTGTATAGATTTTTTCTTGCTCAGACATAGCTGTTAATGGGTCCTATGTGTCTAGGACTGACGATGTTTTAATTGAACATTCTAGAAAACTCTCATAGTCAGAAGGTAGCTTGATATTTAGACCACCCATTTTCAGTGGTTGATATTATCTTTACAAATTAAATTTGGAATGATATTTTCCTGCAATATCTTCTCGCAGGCCTGCATGTTTTCTTGGGATAGTTGTAGCAAGAAACGATAATTTTTCGTGTACCCCTTTGGTGTAGCAGGAGTACACGTTTTGTGGTGATGTTTTCGTGATCTTGCCAAGTTTTGTCAGTATTTTATTAAGTTCTTCTAACTGAGTTTCTAAGAAAGTTTTACATTCAGCCTCGGATCCTATGACAGAACCAAGTACTCTGGCCCCTTTCTTCATTTCAATTTCGGTCTTTTTGAATCTTTTTATCGCCTCATTGTATTTTTCATCTTTTACAATGAGCTGGCATTTCGATTCCTTTACATGATATCCTAAATACTTTCCGTGTTTGATAATGTTGCAAGAAATCTTCGCAGGCTTTCAACTTTCCGACTGCGTTCCTATCGTCTGCATACCATTTCTGTGTTAGGCTGTTATCGTTGACTAGTTTTATTAAAGGTAAAGTGGCTAGCCCGTACATTGCCATTGCTAATGGGTCTCCTTGTGTAGTTCCTTCTCTAGATGGGATAACTTTTAAATATACGAAAAGTTTGGATGGATTAGAGTACGAGTTCTGTATAGCGGGTAGTATAGAAGGGCATATGTTTGCCATGTGTTTCAAAGCCAGTTTAGGGAGTTAAATGCATTTTCCGCGTCTATCAGTAATATTGCATCTGAATCTGTTTTCTCGTATTGCTTCCTAAGCGTATGAATTGCATATTCGATGCCACATTTTTGGCCAAGTCAAAGTTGTTAATTCGATCCGAGTACCATAAGTTCGCTTTTTAAGCACTTTGTGATCGTTCTACCCATTATTCTGAGGATGACTTCGCCTATGCCAATTGGCCTAACTCCTGGGTTTTTATCAAGTGGAATTAGTCGACAGGCATTATATGGTTCAAGAAGCTCATGACTTAGTATTTCTGTCAATATTTTCTGTGCGATTTTCGCTAGTGTCTTTGATATTTCAACTGACTGTTGACCAAAGTGCGTTAGTATGCGTCTCCACTCATTTGCATCCAGACCTGAGGGTCCATGAATACCATGTGTTGTCATGGCAGCCTTCCTAATTTTCTGGGCGTTTATTTGGTTATAAAATATATAACCCTTCACTAGCAAGAGTTGAAAAGCAATCTCTCATCATTTACCATCGTGTATTCTTTCAATGTAACTATGCTACGTTTCTAACTAGGTTAGGCTTCATACTCGAGTTCAGATTCTAAACAGACTGTGGCACCTCGAAAACAGAAGCGAAAAAACGGAGCTCCAAAAAAGGCAAAATTTTTTTAAAAAACTGCCCTAATCTAATATAGCAACTAGGTCGCTTGTGTAAAGAACATAAAACAGCGCAGTACACCCACTTGTGTTTTGAGTGCATTCACAGTATTGCCAGTGTATGATCCACTCTCCTTCAGGGCCTGTTCGTAACCCCCCTCGTACGTGAGTGGGTGGAACAGATTGTCCCACTGGTCGGCCACTGGACCCTTCTGCTTGTAGCCGAATATCAGGTCCACCCAGTGGTGTAGGTTGTCTGAGACATACTCACTTTCAAGTGCTTTCCGGTTCATGTCGATGAAGCTTTTGGCCGAACCTGGCAAAATAAAAGCAAATCATAAGCGAACAGTTAATTAAAGTATTACTGATCGCGGTTATTTCAGTTCTGTTTTTTTACCTCTTACTGGCAGAACAATCACACAAATAGATGAGATAATTTCAACCTTAAGGACATTAAGAGGAGAATAGAGCATGACATACCAATTGAGCAGACAATCTAACGCATGTAATAATTATAAAACTAGTAGATAATCTGGCACTATTCAATCAAGCCAAAGCAGAAGTGGATCTAAGATTTTTGCTTCGACTTTTCGCAAAAAAAAAGTGGGAAAAAAACTATGGCGTAGTTCCTTCCCACTCTTTTGAGAGTAGCCAAAACAAAAATACTGGGTCCAATTCAGTTTTAGTTTTTTGTGGGTTTTTTTTCCAGTCAAATTTGCTTTTTCCAATCTTTTAGCTCAAGAAAAACTCACAGGGGTTCAAGTGAGGTATCATTTTAGAGCCCTTTCAGTCGTGATATTGATCCTACAAAACATGAAAAATATGTTTTTTTTTGGCTCTTTTCTTTTGAAATGATACTTTGGTGCGAGCATTCTGTGCTAATTGCACAGCAAACCAGCTACTGTTTTTTCTTTAACAAAACTCAAAAATTAACTCAAATCACTAGCTAAAACACTAATGCTGCCAAAAAATATCCCTGTCTCAGAAAAAGGCCAGTTAATTCATGCGCTCATATTTATTACCTTTAGCCCATGGGGGAAGTATCACGTGGTTGATCCTGGCCCCGTCGTCCCTCACTCCGAAGTCCAGTTTCCTGGTGTTCATCAGAAACTCCCCATCTCCATCGAAGAACTCAGGAATCAACTAGAATCAAGTCATCATTAGCAATCAAGTTATTTATTTAACAGAACACAAGAAAATTTAAGAAAAGCACTATGACTAATATTGGAATTAAGGTTGGAATGCAGATGCTCATGAATTAAACATCCTCGCCTCCATTTGGCACAATTTTACGACATCAATTTTTTTATTGATGTTGAGGGGCAGCGGGTCTAAAGAAACTCTCCAAAAAGCTCAAAATCATTTTTTTCTTGATCTTTTTGTCATCTATTACAAAAGATATTTCGAGAACCTTTTCCCAAAAAAATGAAGTTACTTTAGTTAAATGCTATCAGAAGCTGATTTGAGGCTGCGAATCGATCCTTAAAAAATGGCTGTCTAATTCTTTATAGTTTCGAGAAATCTTATTTTTTCTGAATCTTAGTGGTTTTTTCAAACATATAAAAATGACAAAAAAGTTTATTTCTTTTGATTTAAATTTAAACTTCTACTGCATAATCGGTATCATGCTAACGTTGTAGCCTGAAAATAGCAAATTGTAAGTTAAGATTCCTCTTTACCGCAAATTTTAGAATGATTGAGGTTTCGAAGCCAAAAAAAAAACGTTACAAATGATTTCAACTAAGCCTATATACATGGCGAGATGATTCGATATTGCATTATAGAGCAGCCTAAAGCTAGTCTTGACAAATTATCAAATTTTAGATTTTCCTTAACATAAGTATTTCAATATTTTTTATTATAAAAAGTTATTAATACGACATTTTAAATCATTACTTTCAATGGTAGGCTCGCAGTGGGTATTTATTTTGCCCTTCGTCTATTCTCTGCTTAATCATTGAGTTTCTTTAATAAATGTTTGATGCTGTAAGAACATGATTTAGGAGAAATATGCTCTGACGTTCTTTCTTTGGTGCAGAAAAATTTGATAAGAAATTAATTTTATCGACCTAATAAAAAGCGACAAATTTACCCTTTTTTAAAAGAACGTTCCTCTCTCACAATAAAATTATATATCCTCCATCCCCGTCTGCGAGTGAAATAAAATCAATGCCCTCTGCTACAGGAACACACAATTTTCCTTTTATAACTGATTTTTTTATTTCCAAAAATCACAAAACATGATTAGAGCCAACTGCAACAACAATGATCTTCTAATTTACATCTTATATAAATTCCAAGATATACATACATCTGAAGTGTCTGAATGAACAGCTGAGAGATAGGCTTACTTTGACAAAACTACAAAGAGTTGCAAAAAAATTGGAACAGACAGAATTAATTGAAAGGAGCAAATGACCGAATTCAGAGAACTTTTACAAGTAAAAGCTAACTTTCCTGGCAAATTTTAATCTCAATGTCACCCATAAATTCAAATATGCATCTCAATGATTACTCTTCAGTTTATTGTTGTCCGAAAATTTTGTTTATGTATACCAACAAGTTGAAGGTTGACTGACCTCTTTGAAATCATGTGGACAATAATTGACATTATTCCACAGTTCTGGGATGGAGTGGAAAGTCCTGTCTGGCTGATCTAGATGGCCATTCTGCAGACACAACACACACTCCGGCACTAGTCTCACCAGATAGAACAACACAAAGGCAGGCGCAGAGTAGTGAGTGCCGAAGAGGAATTTGGGATCTGGCATTTGCTCGTATCGTTCCTATTAAACATTGTAGTGAAGCTTACAAGCTAATAATAATTATCTGTTCGAGCTTCGGTGAATTTGCACGGTGAGCTCTTGAGACACTGTCATAGCTGAATCTTGACGTGGCTCAAACTGCTCATAAATAAATGGGCTACACAGAGGCAAAACTGAGCTTCGCATCACTTGCGAAGCAAAAATCTCATAATTTGCGATTCTGTGACAATTATTTTAAAAAATCATGAACAAGATACCATGCGTTTTTCAAATTTCCTGATTCTGTATAGGGAACCAGAAACCTAGGAACCGATTAACAGTGGAGTTGCTTGATAAATAACTTATAACAGAAAAGAAAAACACAGCCAACAGACAGTTAGCAAAGAGTCAATCAACGCAAAGAAACGGAAAAAAACTGACTTCTACCGAAAATTGGAGTGTTAGATATAGTTTTTATTCCACTGTGATAGCTGAGAAGTAAATTCCACTTTCAAAACTAGAAGCAGATCACGTTTTTCGTTAAGCTCGATCACGTTGAAAGCCGATCACGTTAAGCTCATTGAATTTTCAGAACAATTTTGTACTGTCACTTTTTTTGATAAAATTAACATAATTTGAGAAAATATAGTGTTAAGTATAGTTTTTACACCACTGGGATATCTGAAAAGTAAATTCCGCTTTCGAAACTAGAAGCTCATCCCGTTTTTAGTGCCCTTTATACTTTTGCTGTTCGATAGTGGAGTTTGTCTTCTTTTTAACGGAGGAAATGAACTGAGCTTGAAAACATAGCCAAAGTTAAACTGCGAAAAATCAAATTTGAGCATGAAAAAACAATTATCACGACCTATATAAAAGTCTGAGCCATGCTCATTAACTCTTGAACATAAAACTTAAGCAAACTATAAAACAGCGAAAATTCAACCTAAACTTGAAAAAATAGCCAATCGAAGATGAACGCATGCAATGAACGCATGCAAACATAAAAGACAGTGACTTTCTTGAAAAAATCTCAGCTTTCGAATTTCAAAGAGAAAAATAGATACCCTTTAAGCTCTTTGAATTTCTAGAACGATGTATGATTCGCGCTTTTCAGATTGACACTTTTTTGAAGAACAATTTCAGATTGACACTTTTTTGATAACGCTATTCGGGAAAACTGGATCAATGGGCAAATTTTTAATTATACTGGAAACTCTAAAAATTGAAACTCCCCTTCTAAACTAGAAATCGTTCACGTTTTTAGCGCCGTTTTTCGCTTTCTTAATTGAGAGTGCAAATTATTTAAAACTTAAGATGAATCTGAATTCAACACAAAAACAGCTTTTATACCTAAGTGCATTCATAAATACATTAATATGTATGAATGCACATCTGTAGTTCTTAGTGCATTTAAAGACTTTTTCATTTAAAAAAAAAACAGAAAAAAATCACCAAGACCTATTTAAGAGTACTCACTACGTTTATGGCGTAGTATTCATTACTTTAAAGCTTCATCGACAAAAACAATTTCAAAAAAGCTTAAAAAGCAAAATAAATTAAGAACAATTTTGGAATTTTTTTATTAGTAATTTTTCGAAGACACCTGTTAATTCCTCAATTTTCAACGCTTTTGTTGAATTCTCTCATCACATCACGCACAACAAACGAACGGATCCAAAAAAACTGACTGCAAATTGTATAAATTTTTCAACGTTCAAAGAAAAACATTTCACGGGAAGCTCCTTGAATTTTAAACACGGTTTATGATTGGCACTTTTTTCTAAAATTATCCCAATTAGAAAAAAATTCACTTTTGCTTTTCGATAATGGAATTTGTCTTAGAGTGAACTTGGATAGAAATCGTAAGTCATGCAGGAAAAATTAAATTTGAGCGTGAACGAATGGTTATTTTTCATGAAAATAGAAAAAAAAACAAAAAAAAAGACTTATTTAAGTGAAAATCATTTCCTTCTTTTAGACTGAAGAAACAAAATTGAAAAATGCCAAACAATTCTCAGTAACCATCAAATCAATTCGATTAGCAAGAACCATAAATAAAATTTCACAACACGCAAAAAAAAACTTTTTACGCAGCTGCGAAACGAAGCTTTGTAGAACTTGAGATGCACCAAAAGTATAGTATAGCAAACTAACCCACAGAGAAGATTCAAAGACCGCAGAAAAATCGATATTTTTTAAAAGAAAAGAAATAATCTATCAAAGTTTCCATTTCTTTGACTTGATTTGGTCCTAAAATGAGTTGCTTCTGTGAAAACATGCCAAAAAATCCAAAAAACATTAGCAGGAACCATTATAAGCAAATACAGTCGGTTGCAGTGCAAATAGAACTGATAGCTGCGACTGCAGAGAGTTCTTTTTTAAATTCATTTTGGAAAACCATAACTTTTTGAAAACCTAAAAAACTTCAAGCGAACATTCCCTCAAATAAAGTCGATAATAAGTTGCCAAAAATTACAATCTATGCCCACTTCCTTCAAAATCACAACATGAGAAAAGAAACAAGATTCGAAAGTTTCATATCACAGATAAAGGACACAAAAAATAAACACTATTTTGCCGTTTTCCGCAACTTACAAGGCATCCACAAATAGTATGGACGACAGCCGAAGAAAAAAACGATTTTGCGGAAAAAACCAAAAAATAAATTATTCTATCGAAGATTTCATATCTTTGTCTTGATTTTGTCTTAAATAAAGTTTCCAGGAAAAACATACCAAGTAAGCCACAAACCATTAGCAAGGACCATTATAAACAAATACTGTCGTTTGTAGTGCGAATAGTACCGATAGTTGCGACTGTATTCATCGTAGAAAAAAAAATCTTTTTTAAATTGAACTTTAATTAAACCATAACCTTTTGAATACCTAAAAAATTTCAGTGTTCAATTTTTCAAATAATATCAAAAAAAGTGAATCAAATTTCAGCCTATGCGCAGTTCCATAGCAATAAAAACATGATAAAAAATCAGTTCGAAGAATTATATAAAACTTTCTACGACACACACAAAAAAGAACAATTTTCTGAAGAGCGGCGAAACAAAGCTTCGCACATCTTGCAATGCAATACAAACAAAGCATTGCAAAATAACCGAGAGATAAGATACGAAAACCGCGAAGAACAAAAAAAGAAACATCAAAAAAAATAATAACCGAATTTTTCATCTTTGTTTTGATTTTGTCTTACATAGCGTTTCTTCTAGGAAAACACGCCAAGAGAGTCAATTGAATCCTAATTGAGCATCGAAATAAAAGTTACAAAGCGGTATTAAAACCGACAACACCTGAGCAGACACTCAAAAACATAGCCAACAGTAAAGAGTCAAAGAAGGCAAGTAAAACAGAAAAAAAATACGGACTTGTTTTTTTTAATTTCAACTTTCGAATTTCCAGGAAAAGTAAAGATGACCTTACAGCTATTTGAATTTCAAGAACAATTTATGATTGATATTTTTTTGATGAAATTAAACCAATTTGGATCAGAAAACTGGATCAGTAGGACAATTTTTTATTCCACTGGTAAATATGAAAATTGAATTCCACTTTCAAAACTTAAGTCGATCACGTTTTTTGTGACCTTTACACTTTGGCTGTCTGATAGTGGACTTTGCCTTCCATTTAACAAAAGAATTGAACTTGACTTGAAAAAAAATCATCAGTCAAACAGCGAAAAAGTAAATTTGAGCCTAGACAAATTTTAAGAGTTTTACTTAAAAAAAAATCATCAGCACCTATATAAGAGTCTCAACTATGTCATTATGCATCGGCTCAATAAAACATTTACAGAACATCAGTCAAACAGCGAAAAAGTAAATTTGAGACAAATTTTAAGATTTTTCCTGAAAAAAAAAACAAATCATCAGCACCTATATAAGAGTCTCAACTACAACATCGACTCAATAAAACATTTTCAGAATCTCAAAAAATTTAACACAGAGGCGAAGCTGCTCTTTGCAAACACAGCGCGAACAAATACCAAGGATCAGCTTTAAAGGGGTTAAAAAAAGAAAAAAAAAACTAATTAGTTTTGAAAAATAAATGACCTCTACGGGAAATAATCATCAGTCATCGGACCCTACACATTTGTGCCAATGAAGGTTTTAGAAACCAAAGATAAGCGACAGAAAAGGGCTTCAAATTTCACAAAACCACAAATTTGCTTAAGGCAACCACACAAACTTTGCATGTAATAAACTAGAAAAAAAAATTTAAAAAATTGTTGTATATATTATATATTTCAAAAAATCTCGATATATTTTCAGTTTGAAAGATTCCGAAATCGAATTTTAATTAAAATTTTATTACATGAAACAAATTATTTTTTTGGCGCATTTGATGAAGTAAAAAAGCAATACTGCCTCCAGCTTCAAATTTGCTCCAAAATTATCACTTTCACATTGGCGAAAGTGCCACCAAAATAAGCACTTCTATTTCCGACTAAGGTTGGAAAAAATTGCATCGTACCATCACACTACGCTTCGCTTGTGTAGAGAAATCTCTCATTTTCCTCATCAAATGACTCGAAATGAGGCCGCTAAGCCCATAAGATCTAAGCTGAAACCTTTTAATGCTAATTAATAAAAAAAGAGAACAAAAAAACCAAAAGACTGAAATCAAAATTGGTATATTGCCAAACCAAAATTAAATAAATTTTAGAACTCGCAATTTAAACGCAGACGAAAAAATTAAAACAAACTTTTGAAATTAGAAACTGATCACGTTTGTTTGCGGCATCTGCGCTTTCGTAATTGGATAGCGCAGTTTACCTATCTTTAAGAAAATGAACTTGAATTGAACGAAACGTGGATATAAAAATAATTGCATTCATAAATGCATTAATCTATGAAGCACTTGTAATTAGAAGAGTATGTTTTGCTCTATCACACACGTTCTTTCACGACAGGCATGAATGAAAAACGAAATATTAGAACGCATGAATGAAAAAAGAAACCATTTGCATAGTTTCGCGCACTTTTCCGGGCTCTTTCACAATTTTCTGGGCTCTTTCACTTTTTCCGGCATCTTTCTCTCAGAAAGAACAAAAACATACTCTTCAACAGTTAGAACAGAGTTGAAGATGGCTTCGGGCAAAAGAACCGCCATCGGGCACTTCGTGCCCTCAAGCCGGGCTCTTTTTCCCTTCATTTTTAGGGCATCTTTCAACTATGTTCTAACTACTACTTGGAGCATTTTAAAAATGTTTCCTAAAGAAAAGATTTAAGAAATCATCATTCACTGCGTTAATAACTCTTAACCAGTAAAAAAAATGACCGAAATCCAACCTAAACTAGACTGGCCCAATTACAACATATAACACGGAGGCGAAGTTGCACTTCGCGTACACAAGCAAAAATATGACCGACAACGCAACTGGGAAAAACTGAATGAGTAAAACTTTGAGTCTACAACATTTCTTAAGTGACGCACGGCAATTATGAGTCTACATACTTGCTAAGTGACGCAAGCAAATTATGACGCATTAGCAGTATCAGTCAATTTAAAAAGAAATTTACTAACTAACATGCCTCAATTTATAGAGCGGACGCATTTTAACTAGTATACGAATAAGTTCATTAAAAACATGCAACCCTGCTGAGGTTCGAACCCTCTTATTTTGCTGCTGGTCTCCTTCCCTACCTCTACGCTACAGAACCATAACACCTTGAAGCTAAAGTGCAATTTGTAATACAATAGTGTGTGTTAATATCCTTAGCATTTGCTGTACTTAATCGCTGGTTATTGATCTTATGCATATACTGCAATAAAAGGGAACTTTCAAAAAGAGCACTAATATTTGCGACTTAGGTTGGAAAAAAAGTGAGTTCGTAATATCAAACAAACTTTGCTTGTGTAATCAATCTAGCCTTAAAATCCGTAAGGTATCCAAGGTTGTATAAGCAAAAGGCAAGACGCCAGCTTTACTTACTCGAAGACTGGCGAGTCTGTCTGCGTTTAAGGCACCCACAGGCTTCGACAGGTCCCGAAAGCTAACAGGCTTTTCCAGATCTAGAAGAGCACATAAAAACCAATTAACAATTGTTTGTAACTTGTCCCGATTCCTTCGAGGTTTCACTACAACTGACATTTTATAGTAAACACTGCTCTAGATTTTCATTCGTTGACCTGCTGTTTACCTTATCAATTTATACCTTTGACAATACAAAAATGCCCCCCAACAATGGAAACGTTTGCCACTACAAAAATGCACCCAACAACATTTATAGCTGCTGTCAACATATTGTTATCAATATCGGTGACCTTGAGTGCTTTTAATGGTCGCACAAACAACAGCTAGTTTTTCACACTGTTGTACTTTCTTTATGAGATCGTAATTACTACAAAATGAGCAAATATAGGCTTATCAACTTCATTACAGTTCGTTGAAACAAAAACGATATGGCAGTTGGAATCCTTCATGGACGAAGACCTGAATGCGCGAAAATGTTATCAGTCAGAACTCAATATTGAGTTAGCAGAACTCAATATTCATAAATTCAAAGGAAATCAGCGATAAAATCAGTCAGTTTTAGACAGTTTAGAATTGGTTGAGAATTTTCGCGCATTCGGTCCTTTGCGCATGAAAATAGCCCCCGATAGGGTCAACTATTTTTCATTAGCTGTAAAAAGGACAAGCCGTTTTTCAAAAAATATCCCACTCGCCTAACTCTTTTGACGTGTAGTCACTGATGACCCATGGGAACACAGGATACTGGTGGATGTCATTAATACTCCGGTCGGCCAGTCTGAAAAAAAAACACGTATCCAAATCAAATAAATAGGAAAGCAATCAACACTTTTCATTACATCATTTTTTAAAACGAGGATATTTTAAAGAAATTTTAAATAATAAAAATGTCTTGACCATGAACCTGGTATCTTAAGCGATAACTTTTCGAAATATTATATCAAAACCTTCTAAAAATTATAATTGATTCCAAAGGTTTAATAATACACAGAGGCGAAGCTGAACTTCGCATCACTTGCGATACAAAAATGAATAACGTGGCGATACAAAACTGAATTTAAAACAAATGAAAAGAAAAATGAAAAAGCCTTTTGCCGTCTCGAGCAGATGGGTCATATCTACGCCGGAACGGTTGATTGAATTTGAATTTATACACAGAGGAGAACGCAAGAAAACAATAGCGAGAACACAAACAATAGTGAGAACACAAGAAAAAAATCAGCTCTAGAAAATGGAATACGAAAAAAGAGAAAGAAATAAGAGTAAGACAGATGCGAAGCTTCGCTTCCCAAAAACTTGCGAGAACACGACAAAAAGGAGCTCTAAAGCGTGCAATAATAATCCTCGAAACAATAAAAATTCGTCTACCTCTGATATTTGAACCAGCGACCTACAGATTAAGAGTCCCAAACACTATTCACTAAGCCACGGAAGCTTAATAACACAGTCTAGCTTAATAACACTAAGCCACAGAAGCTTAATAACACACTAAGCCACGGAAGCTTAATAACATCTTGGAAGGTTCGTAATAACACACTAAACTGATCGCAAGTGTAAATTAAGGAAGCATATGAAGGATTTCAGGCTCAAGGAGATGAGTCCTGTGAACAAAGGTTTTTACGTAAAAAAAAGTCTAGTACCCGATTGCAATACCCTTGCTTATCGCAAGGGTAAAAAAGTGACGAACATCATGAAAAACTAAAATAGCAAAACAAACAGTTGGAAGAGTAGTGTTAATGAACTCGAGGTAGACCGGCTACGGCAAAATGGGACGATATCATCCTACGGTTAGTTCTGTATCGAATAGAACCGATGGTTTAAAAAAATCAACTCAAGAAAACAAAAAACTGAAACCCAAACCAGCTTAAGATAAATAATAATTGTTACACAGACAAAACGTGGAGCTTCGCTCCGAAAGCAATACAGCAGAATTATATCTGGGCAAGTTAACCGGCAGAAAATGAGCCAAAGTCATTCAATTGAAAAATTAGGTTAACAAAAACGGTGAAAAAAAAATACATACAGCTTGAATAATCATTGAAACGAGAAAAACGAAGTCGAGCCAAAAAATGTCAAAGTTTGATCATCAAAACATTTTGAAACTCATAAAAATTTGAGACCCCTCGAAGCTTTTGCACGCAAAGGAATTTTTTTCGCTCTTCAAAGGTCAAAAATATGTAAACCGAAACCGCTAAAATCGAATTGAAACTTAAAGCAAAACTTAAAGAAACTCTAACTTCAGAATCAAGATGAACCATTTCGAATAGTTGGGTATTCAAAAGCCATTATGTTCAAAATATGTCTGTTAGTTGTAGAAATGACAGTGTTAATAAAAGAATTGTTTCAGTGATTTCGTTAAACAAGCTGTTGACATGTAAAAATCAAAGAGTTCTCTCAAATCGTCTCTTCACTTTTGTTACCGACAGTAGTCTCAAGAAAATATTTAACCCGTGTAAGAACATTCCCGCTTCAAGGAGAAGTTTTCAAACTTAGCCAACAGACAGTTGGAAAAATGTCAAAGAGAGCAAGTAAGCAGAAAAAATACTGACTTGTTTTTCAAAAAATCTCAACTTTCGAATTTCGAAGAAAAATATAGATGGCCTCTTTGAGTTTCAGGAACAATTTATGATTGACTAATTTTCGATAAAATTAACACAATTGAGAAATACGTTCATCGACTCTTAAAAACAAGAGGACCAAAATATAATAAAACAAACACTTGGAAAGTGTCAATGAAATTCTATTTAAAAAACATCATGTTGAAGCTCTAACTTTCAAGAATATGCTAAACACTTTTTCATAAAACTAGGCCAATTGTAGAAAAACTTATCAATACAGTAATTTTCAATTAGAAACTGTTCGCTAAGATTTAAAACGGCTCTTCACTCCCCCCCCCCCCCCCCCGCCCCATATTCAAATTTTCCACTTTCTTAGTAGCTTTACGTGTGATTTCAGCTGAATGCGTGATATTACAATCTAGAGCCAGAAGAAAAAAATCTGTTCACAATATTTAATTTGTTCACCAAATTTCATTGCAGTATGACAACGTTAACATACTTTTTCAAAATTGATTTTCACATGTGGGGGAATGTGGAAAAGAACCCTTGCAACAGCCGAAAAGTCTGATAACTCCTATTTGGAACACCAGTCAAATTTCGGATTGCAACCAACAAACATAGCCAATCGAAGATTGGAAAAGAGTAATGAACGCTATTAAACAAAAAAACACTGACTTTCTTTAAAAAAATCTCAACTTTCGAATATCAAAGAACCAATAGATGACTAGAACTTTTCTGATGACATTAACCCAACTTTAGAAAACTGGATCAATAGAAAAATTTTTTATTCTGCTGGAAACCTAAAAATTAACTTCCACGTTTAAAACTAGAAATCTTTCACGTTTTTTTTGCGCCATTTCCACGTTCGTATTTGGAGAGTGCTATTTCCGTCACTTTCAGCAGATGAATTTCAATTTATTTTAAAAAAAAAAGCATATATACCTAAGTGCATCAACATTTTAAGACTTTTTCCTGAAAAAAAAACGGCAAGACCTATATAAGAGTCTTCACTACGATCATTACTCTTAAACAACAAAGTCAATTTCACTCAGTTTGATTTTATTAACTCATGTGCGTACCCGATGAAACTAGATACACGATTCTTAATTTACGGTTTTTAATTGTAATTGTTTTACTATACTGCCATTTTCTGATAACTTACAAGTTCAAATAGAATATATAGTCAAAGTTTGATATCTCCCTCCGTCTCCATTTGTGAGTAACTGTAGTTAATTCTCCCAGATTCTTATCTACACAGATAGACTTGAGGTGTGGCGTCTTTTCTTTCTTCTCCTGGGCCAGTTTGTTCAGAAATATCTCCCTTCTCTCATAGGAGGAGAAGGCCACGTAGATATCACTTACTAAACTCCGCTCCTCACAATAGATTTCCACGCCCTAAGTCACAAGGAAAGCTTTAAAAGTTTACGATTGACATACAAAAGTACAACAGCAAAACTTTTCAGTGAAAAATAATGCAGACTCCGGAATACGTTTCCTAATTAATTAATGAGTTCGAACATTAAATAAGTTACTATACTTCGGGAAACGTGGCTTCAAAGAATAACGCTAAGATCAAACTTATTTGTAGTTAATTCCAAATTGTTAGCAATATCCGTTTCGGTCAAAGAACCTGCACGACTTTAATTAAACTTAAACTGTTCATTTTGATGTCGGTTTCAGTTCACTTCTGATTTCCACAAGTAAAAACCCTGTTGAAAAAACTAATAAGCCTAAAATGAGTTTTTGACCGATTAAATTGCTCAAGGTCACCGGCATTGCCCAGACTTTGATATTACCTATTAAAAAACCCAGTTTCGCATAAAAATTGAAGATTTGGCTATAGCAATAATGAGAAGAAGTTGAAAATGACACAGGCCAATTCAAAATAACGTTACGACTCACCGTGCTTTGCAGAGCGTATCTTCTTCTCAGTGCTCGTTTTATAGCTGTGATCTCAAATTTCTGCAACTCCGACTGAAACAGCACATACTCAATTCATTGCAACTCAATCTTTAATGCCAAAATGCTCGCAACAACTTTTTCAGATTACCAATGGCTTTCCTCATTTGGACATCAAATGAACAAAAAAGCACCGTTTCCTGGCCTACTAAATTGTTCAAGATCAGTAATGATGCAGAGCGAACAATCTCGTGCGTTTAAAAGGAAACTTATGAATTAAAAATTCATAAAAAATAAGTGCGCTCCCTTATTATTTCAGGAAATTTAGGGAAAATTTTAGAAGGTTTGAATGCAGTAGCAGATATATGGTTAGGTCAAGGTCTCAGGGATTAGATCCTGAATGCCCATAGTGTCCCCTTGCGATACTATTTTACGACATCCATTTTCGGTCAACCAGCCCAAAACTTTTTCTAAAGGCGCCTTTGGCGCCGATATACACTTAACTTGACCGGTCAGCACGCGCTACAAAGCCGCAATTTGTAGTTCTAAGCTTTCCAAAATGCTCAAGTCTTTTTTTTAAATCTGTTTTGAAAATTAATTTGCTTGGAAAACAATCTAATCTACCTAAAAATGGGAAAACACTTTTGAAACCCTTGAACCGCGCCTAGATGCAATCTGATATCAGATAGAATTTTTCTCAAAACCTATATTTTATCAAAGCACATACTCAAAAAGAAGAAACTTACAAATGCAAGTTAATTGCTCTACTTACAGCGTCGTTGATTGGTACGAAGAAAAGGTTCTTATCTGTTAGCACCATCAGTCCCGGCCTGGCTGTAAGTGGTCCTATACTCTTACAGTTCTCTTCTAGAAGAATGTTCTCGTTGCGGTCCAGCCTAATCAACAGATACGAAAACTTAATATCAAGAGATTTAGTCAATCGAAATTAATTTAATTGTCCCAAGTGTGCAGAAGAAGAATGACTCAGTTAAAACGTTAGAGAGGTTGTAAACCTGGGAAAGTCTACGCTCCGATTTAATTACGCTTGCCATTCGCAAGCGCAATCAAATGGAGGCTTGGCTTTTTGAATTAATTTTGTCTTTTCGAACTTTTTGCAACGCTAAAGTTTTGAACAAGCTTACCATTTCTTGTCGAAGTTCAGCATAGCCAATGCACTATCAACAATCGCTTCTCTCTAAAAGAAAAAATTCAGTAAATGAAAAACTAATTATAACAATTGAGAGTATATCATTCAGACAAAAACAAATAACTTCAGCTCAAAAAAACTTCAGGGAAATAACAGAGGGAAATAACTTCAGCTCATTGACATTGATGTTCTGCAAGACTTTTTTTCAGAAAAAAATTACAGAAAAAATAAATTATCTGCAATTCAATTGAAAATATTCTTACGATATGGTCTTGGTCGCTGACGGTGAGTTTTGAGGCCTCCGTGGAAGCCTGCCACAGTTTAGTTATTTGAGAGTAAAGAATATCATTCGAGCTACTGAAGATGAGCACAAACTCAAATCTGAAGTCCTCCTACACAAACAAAAACAGTATATGAAGAACGCATCAACCAAGCAAATTGGTGATTATTGTGCTCAGTCAGGGGAGCTTAAGATAGTCATAGCCTGACTCAACAGATTTTATCAGAAATCTTCACTTAAATTAAAGAAAGTTTTAGAAGAAGAAAAGTTTAGTTCACCTTGGGTTATTTTACACTTACCACAACAGAGGAGAATGGTTTCACCACTCCATTTTCGAGCATTAAAGTGTGTCTCTTTGACTCAAATATCCACCTGCACTCAATGGAGCCGTCACATAATGTAACAACTTCACTTCCAGGAACATTTTTCATATCCCGGTACAGCACTTTGACCAGTGCCGAGAGATCATTCGAAGGGGGTTCGAATACCACTGATTTTGAACATACTCTTAGTTTGGCACTGTGCCAATCTACCCCGTCTACTTTCGAAGTAACCTGACTTAAAGGTGTTGCTTGCACGTTAATTAGATAGTCTTTGAAAAACGTTTCACCGGGCTCCAGGAGAAGCAGACTGAACCTGAGAAAAGACAAGTTTTTCAAATCAGAACTTTTAGCTGTGGGAATTTCAACTAATAGATTGTTATAATTTTATGGGTAAAACAAACTAATTCAACGCCATACCTTTCTTTAGAGCCGAACTTGAACCGGCTTTTGTGAAATGCGGCATTCTGTGATGGAAGCATTACTCCCGCGCAGATAGCGCTATTACTTTGCAATCAGTCTTGAGTTATCAGTAAGCACATGCTAACACTTGCTTCCTTTACAATATATACACATTATCTGAAAAATCATCTCTTGGTTTGTAGTGATGAGCCAATTAAAAACAGTTATACGTACAAAGTGAAGAACCGTCGTTAAAATTTTATTGAACGATCAACAGGATGTACAAGAACTTGCAGTTCTATACTTGGATTTTGCCAAGGCATTCGACACTGTACCTCATGATTTTCTGCTCTGTTACGAAGATCAAAATTTTTGGAATTGGCGGGAAATTGCTGTCACTGATGTATTCATACCTCAACAACAGAAAGCAATGCGTTAAGATTGAAGACTGTAGCTCAACCCTAAAAGAAGTCACCAGTGGAGTTCCGCAAGGCTCAATTCTGGGACCGCTGCTGTTCTTACTTTTCGTAAACGATCTACCTGAAACCATGAATGACACAGACAGTTTTGGGTACGCAGATGACTTTAAGGCCATTCTACTAAATCAAACTTCCCTTGACACTGCAACTCTGAAAATAGAGAAATGGCTACATGAAAACAAAATGCAACCCAACATCAAAAAATCAACGCTCCTCGGCATCAAAGGTGATTTAAAAGCTAGTCTCCTGAACAAAAATCTTTCCTCGGTAAACTCACAGCGTGACCTAGGACTGATTGTGTCCAACAAGCTCACATGGAACGAAAATAGCTCTCGTCGGACATCCAAAGCAATTAGTGCTCTCTTCCAGGTTAAACGAAGTCTGACTATGAAAAGCAGTGTGACCACCAGGCTTAACGCATATACTGGGTATGTATTACCCATAGTAACATACGCATCCCAAGCATGGACTCCTAGCAGATGTGACATTCGACCAGAATGGCCAAAATGCAGTCTCTGCAGAATTCGGTATTTTAGCAGCAAGCCTTCCGAATTGGCGATTTAGAACGGATAAGGACGTTATTTGAACGATTAGCAAAACGGTGAAGGCTAGAAGATTCTGGAATTCTAATTTTTAAAAATTCGAATTATGACGTCATATTTCTGAGAAACGTCAGAGACGGCCATTTTAGCTAAAATAGCAGAAAGAAACAGAACAACTTTTATCTGCGATTGCGAACAGTACGAAAATCGAGATTAGAGAACGACAACAAAATACAGAATAGCAGAGAGCGTTCCGAGTTGCAACTATTGTGCTGTTACAATAGTTGCAAGGCCGTTGCGAACAACGGTGAAGGGTAAAAACCAGCCCTCCGAGTTAGCGTGAACCTGAGGTTAAGGAGCTTGATTCGCCGGATTCAAGAATCCGGAAGGGTCTCGGGACGGGAACTTTTATGAACTTGTATTGAATTTTAGCATCCTGTCATGTCCTGACTTGAATTTAACTGATATTTTGATTAGTTTTGACAAGGATGAGGTGCTAGGAGTTGGGGGGAAAGGGTTGATCCATCTTCGATGGAGATGATGATTTTTATCTACTGAACAAAAACAATAGTAATATAATAAGTAGTAGCCCTGTTTTTAGGAGTGACCTCGTGGTCTGGGGATACAGAGACCCAGCCATGAGCTCACTAATTTTGCATGTAATTCAGTTAATTTGAGCGTTCTGGTCGAAGCCGGAGAACAGTAACGTTTTTGTCAGCCTGATGTAAGAAAGACCACCGAAAAGTACTGGCTTGGTAGAGACGGTGAAAAACATGCAAAGCTCTGTTTAGACGCTAGCCAGTCGTCTTAAGACTTAGTTTTGTTATCCGTCGATATGTATCTTCCGGGCGAATGTTACATGTATGTTTTTATGGGGCTCCTGGGTGTTATTCTTTTTTAACATCATGACCGGCGGAACCGTTAACGAGCATTCCGCGCCGAGCGGATGCTCACATTAACGCCCTTATTAGGCCTAAACCGCCGGGGCGGAAGGGTAGTTCGGAACGCGGAGGCCTTCCGGATTGCCGTGAATAGTTTTTTAACCTAGTTAAGACCGAAAATTCACAAACCAGGAAGGGTGGGGGGATCGGCCGTCCCCTCGTCCCCTGAGCGGTTGGTGACCAAAAACACTTAAAGATATAAGTAAAACCAAACAAAAAGTAGCATAGTACCCAAGAAAAACAAAAAACATAAAAAAATAACCGAAAAAAACCAAAAACAGTAAAAAAAGTAAAAAATCAGTAGAAATCATCCCCCAGACAAGATGTGATTCAACCCCCCCGTTTGTTGTTGATAGATATATTGTTGTTACAGGCATTTATATCAGTCAGGATCGTTACGATCAATTTTGTGGCCCGTTTGTGAGGCTTGTACTGTAGGGTTATTTGAGCATTTAAGCACGTTAATGATAAATTGCGCCCAATCCGGAAGGGTCAGCTGATTTGCGCTCAATTCGGAAGGGTCCGGGGTGAAGACCGATCCGGCAAGCAGTACAGGGAACAACAGGAAGAGGCTCAACGACAACTACAATCGACTGTTGGGTATCGTTAACAAGTTTTGTATCCCTTTTGGTACAAAAAGTAAGATAGTAATCTGTGGGGGGCTCGACAGTGCTGCACTGTAGTGACCCTTCACCGAACTGCGAATATCCGAGTTAAGCACCTTAATTCGGAGATTAAACAAACCCGGAGGGGTATAGTATTCCTAATATTATTACTTATATAGCCTATATTAATAGTCTTATATCGATTTTCAGACAAAAACAACGAGAACTGACCGGTTTTTAGGGTCAAAATTGCGATATTTTGATCCCCCCACAAGTCGCGATTTTTGAGATATCGATATTTTTTGAAACGGAAAAAAGCGCTAAGTTAGTGTGTTACATCGTAACTGCACTATTGTAATAAGCAGAACCGGTTAACTTTAGTTCGGAAGTGGTTGGAACTAGTTGGTACAAAAAACCAAATTTTCCCATTTTTGATAGTAAGAAACGCTAAAAAATCAGAAAATTTTTTGAAATTTTTGAGTCAGGACAGTAAAAATAGTTGTTTGGACAACGTCCACTAGTGAATCTACAAGTCTTAAAATCCGCTACCCGAAAGCCTTCCGGGTTGCAGAGAAATCGAACATAACGTGTTTGATTTGGTGGATTCATCAATCCGGAGGGGTCCAGGTAGCATAGTTTTTCGCAAAATTTTTCTACAATAGCGTTTTAGATCGGGTCTTTTGCATTGAACTAGAAGAGTATAGGCCTTCTGAGCTCAGATCAATAGTTTTTAGGTCGAAAGGACCAGATTTGCGGAAAAAGTTAGGCGGAACCTATAAGAGAGAAAATTTTTGAGTTCGGAAAAAAAGACGTTTTGGTTAATAACTTTGGGACTACTGATCATATCGAGTTGATCTTGGTACCAATAGATCAGAAATTAGCTGAGCTTACTAATAGGATCAGAAATTTTTCGGAAAGGCGAGAGAGAAAATTTTTTGAGATTGTTTTTAGCAAATTACACAAATCCGGAGGGGTACACCCTTCACGTTTTATAAATTTTTCTGAAAAACCCTTATACCCCTACCAAAAGTTGATAGCGATTGAACTAAGTAACTTAGGACAGTTCTAGACAAAAAGGGAGGGCTGAAGGCACAAGACAATCATAATAGAGTCGAAATTAGGCAAGTGATAAGACCCTTCACCGTTAGTGTGAATTGTCAAATAAGTGCCTTAACTTCAATCCGGAGGGGTCTAGGAAAGGATCCTATACCCTTCCCAGTTAATTCAAACAGCATAAGAGCAACGCAGAACGTATCCGGAGGGGTATAAGCTGAAATTAAGAAAACTACGAAAAGCTACTTTGACAGAGCTAAGGGCTCCGAATCCGGAGGGGTCTACTTTCCACGAAACCGGAGGGGTCCGAATCCGGAGGGGTCTAATAGTTGCTAATTCGGAGGGGTCCAAATCCGGAGGGGTCTACTATTAACTAACTCGGAGGGGTCCCAATCCGGAGAGGTCCATATTCTGACAGTCCGGAAGGGTCCTATTTGTGCCAATCCGGAGGGGTATTATTTTATTAAGGACTTAGGTAAACGAAAGAAAGACCAAAAAGCGAGAGGTATTAGGTTATTAATAAACAGGCTAGGTATCAGTGACTGCACTGGTAACTTGCCTCTCAAAAAGAACCAGACTAATACAAAACAGGTCCGAACTCGGATATTCGCGACACTAAGTCTAAATTAGAAAGAGCGTGACTCATTGGTGTGGATTGAAACATAATACGTTATTGGGAAAAGTGACTGCCCTGAGGATTTTAGTAGGTCTAGCTCGGGCAGTCCGAAGGCAGATAGGTAACACAATACTCGGTGGGTGCAATAGACGCCCACTTGAGAAAATAACTGCCTTCAAAGTTTTGTCTGTTTGGTGCAGCACCAAGCAGGGGAAGCTTTTTCTTTAAAAGACAGGTTCGACTATTGTACTGCGACCGACTAAGAGTACAAGACACATACGTTTTTTTATATACATTCATATTGTGTCAATATATATATTTTTTTTGTTTTTGATTTTAAATCAACCTAAACTGTGCTTGATTGGGTAGTGACTACACTATCTTTTAAATTGACTGATAACATCATATTGTGCTAGTTTCCAGATCTTTGGACCGATAATCGGCTAGTGTGAATAAATTTTATACAAACTGTACTCTGACAACATACAGGGATTCGTGGTCACTATTTAATAGAATCGGGTGAAATTTATTGTGTTGTGTCATTATTATTGTTAATAAAACTATAAGGTCTCTAGCAATTGAGTCAAGAGTAGGCATAGGAAAGTGACAAATAAAGAATGAGTTTAGACAAGTCGAGGATACCAAAACGAGGTAATAGCTCTAGGAAATTCATACCTGAAAAGCAAAGAAAAACGATGACCGATCCTTTTGTGGATTGGATCAAGCGATCCCGGTCTGACAAAAGGGGGACGGTTTCAGGCAGAATGGTTGAAACGAGAAGTCAGAAGACCTCAGAAGAGCGAAGAGAACTGTTAGAAGTGGAGGTCAATACGGACCATACCATGAACGACAACCAGGGAGTAAATGGACTGGAAGGGAGAGGCAGAAGGCTGGCGAGTGAGTCTACTCCGGTAGAACAAGGCCATGATTTCGCCAC